ACACACACAAACACACACACACACACACACACACACACACAAACACACACACACACACATACTCACACAATGGTGTACATATGCACTCTACTAGGGCACACTTGCACATATATTAAATGCACTTTAGTATCAAGAATACACAAAAACACACCTTTGTTCAACCAACAAATTATTTATCACATGATGCTGTCTTGTCTTTGCTACTTGACACAGACAGTCATCATGTTAGTTAAAGTATCACATATCTTTAAAAGAACAAGTACTCGTAACAGTCTGTGCAAACATCACATACTGTGTGAGTTCAGAGAAATTGTCCACTTATCATCCTTTCTTGTTTCTTACAGGACCATGCCGTGAAGACGGAAGACTTCCTGACAGGAAAGAGTTTGACAAAAGATGTTATCAAAGGCAAGAAAAATGTCATGGCAGTTTTATAACATTTTTGTCATTTTTATTTTTTTCCACCTCTTGAAGCTGGTTTGTAATGGGTAAAAATGTTTGCAAAGTGCTTTTTCGAAGGTGTAACAGAAAGTGTTTTGAGATTAGGCTTACTTAATTTAAGTCAGTTTTGGGCTTGAGAAAAATGGTTGAGCAGACATACTTTTACCGTTTTAATAAGAATGAATGATTGGACTTGCACACATCAAACATAAAGAGTAAAGAGTAAAGTTATTATTATTCAGTTTTCCAAGACCTTAGTACGTGTGATTAGCTTGCTAAGAGAAGAGAAGTAAATGCGCACACGAGGGTGGGACAATTGTGCAGTTCTCAGTAAAATAAAACTTTCAAATTGCTGTCATTTCTTTTGCCAAATGTTTATTATGTGTGCATGTAAAGCGTGCTTGAGAACAGTTATGATTAATTTAATCCATCTGTAAATTAGGTTGGTACTAGCTCAACTCTTGCTTCTTTGAACGTGATCTATTTTGAAAGTCCTGTTACAATAGCAAACATTTCCAGCATGCTTGTTTGAGAGTAAAGAGTAGTCTAAATGTTGCACTGGGGTTGGTTGCCATTGTTGTAATTAAGAAGGCAAAAGTGAAGACTCTGTTTCTTGATGAAGAAGGTTGATTTATTTAACATAATATAAGAAAATGACATGAGGTCTATCCTCTCTGGCTTCACTGACAAGACTGAATCATAATGAGTATGAGCACCAGTGGTTAAAACAGGAAGGAGGAGTGAGTAAAGATCACTAAGATCAGACAATCTTTGTTGTGAGGGTAGATAAAATAAAAGTACAATTACAGGGACATAATTCAAATTAATCATGGTAATATAGGGACCAACAATCCAGGATTTATTGTTGCCCTTCTATATATTGATTATAAGCAGTCTAATAGTCTAACACTCAGAATAGAGAAGAACAGTTAAGAAGAGTTTATTTTTTTACACCACATTTCAACATGACACTGGTTTACAGAGGACCTTTTTACTCTGTCCTTAATTATGCTTGTAGATTTTTCACACTCCTGTGCTTCATTGTAAGTTTTCTCATATTGATAGATTAAATTGTGGAATCCTTTGTCAACACGATATTAGTTCATATTATATTTCTTGACTGTTAGTGACTGACATAGACTAGGGGCATAGACTCAAAATAAGGAAAGGATTGAAAACATTTCATTGTATTTAACTTTGAATAGACGGAAAAATCAAAACTGTGTACCAGAAACACCTGCCTTTTTGTTTTACATAGACACAAGAGGGTAGTTAGTGGCAAACTTTCCTTGTGAGGAAATAATTCACAGAATCGTGTTCACTTCTATGTAAAAGCACAATTTTTACATATTAACTGTACTTTCTATTATCTGTCCTGTTCCTTTTGTCTTCTGTGTCAAGTACTCCTTCTTTGAACCGTTTCATGTCTTAAGGTGTATTAATCTTTCGCAAAAATGGAATAAAATTGGTTTCAGGAGCAGCAAAAGTGTTGGCTGATGAGCTGAAGCCTGCCTCTGATAACCCACTGCTGGCTTCAGCACAGTACAGGAAGAATCTGGCAGTCAATTTGCTCTACAAGGTCAGTCTTCTATCCTGTTTCAGTAGGAGCGTAAGCCTAGTACCTTTTCTAGTGGTTATTTAGCTCTTTGAAGAAGTATCAACTCAGTATCAATCCCCTTCCCATTTAATAAAGATCTACTTTTTCATTTTTACTCAAGCTACAACAATGCCTCATGGTGTGTTGGGGTTTCTTGGTTTGGGGAAGTCAATATTCATGGCTGTATGTAATAGTAGAAAGCACATCATGTGTTATCATATTGCTGGCAGTAAATTTGCGTCAAGCCAAAATGTCAACATACAGGTACACGACAGGAAGGAAAATTTTGAACCTTATTATAATGATATCAATGTTTTAATTTAATACTTTTTCATGCACGCTACCCACACCATCCTTCCATATTGCCTCTTAGTACTGTAATGGAATGTTTTGATTAATCAACCATCCCCAAGTTCCTTCCATACCTAAAAGCTTTCTATTAATATTTAATGAAAATTATACAAATGTTCCAAACTTTAGAAATCCTGTCTAGTGTTGGTAGTGGCTACTGGCCTGGTCTGGTCCTTCTCTGAAGTGAAATGGTATAGGTTTAAACTTCTATCAACACTATTTGTTAAGAGGCTGGGTCTTGGAGTTTAACGTCCACATCCGAAAGGGAAAGCCAAATGAGAGATTTGTGTAAAGTGCCTTTCCCAGGGACACAATGTCCCACTGAGCTCTCCTCATTTGATTAAGAGTCATAATTATCCTAATCTTTTGGTATTTATAGTGAAACACTAGGTCTCAGTACCATATTTCTGCAGGGTTTTATGTTTAGTTGAGCCCTGAGATGTGGAAGATGAAATAAGAAGTAGTCTTAGATGGCTATTGTTCAGTTTTATAAGCCATGCATCCGATTTGTAAAAATGCTATAACATATGTCTTATCTTCAACATCAGACCCTCCTGGAGTTAGCCAAACCCACTGATGCCAAGATCCAAAGTGGTGCAGACAGCATTGAGCGCCCTCTGTCTTCTGGTCTGCAAACATTCCAAGAGAAGAAAGACGAGTTTCCTTTGAAACAGCCAATGCCCAAGATGACTGCTCCTCTGCAGGTGTGGTATGCTTTGGGTTTAACACTGTTGTCAGCGCAATACATTTTTTTTTTTTAGGCAGGGTCTTCGATACAATTTCTAGCCCCAAGATAACGGAATAAAGGGGATGGTGAGCCATGAACACATTACATTGGTTTTTGCAAGTTCTTATATTTTTGCATTTTGTTCACTTTTTCACAAACTTTTGGAATTAACGGTTCGAGTCGCCCAGTTTCATGTGTTCCAATGCGGTACGTAGTGCTCCTTTTGACATTTCATTAACGACTTAAATTTGCAAATGTCTTTTAAAATCACAAATTCAAGTTGCTCAGGGAAAAAATTTGTATACAATAGTCTACTTTTCAATTACAATGTTACAAAAATTCCTCATTAGAAATTTGAATTAGATCTACATTTGCCTGCAGATCAGTCCAGCTAGATACGTCTGATCTAAAGCTCATTTACAGTGCTGTCCCCGTGGTTTTATGCACCCCGCATAATTTAGCAAAATGTGATAATTTTTTGCATAATTTCTTATTATTTTCCTTTATCATTCTTTGATAAAATGAACAGAATCGCATAATTTCACATTTTTGGGCTCAGTTTGCATAATTTCAGAATTTTACTTGCATAAAACGACAGGGACAGACAGTGGATAATTTGAAACTGATGGGTTTGTGAAAAGTATGTTGGTTCAGATTTAAATGGAGGTTTACAAAAGCTCTCTTGCTGAAAATCAGATTTGGGAAAAGGAAGTGTTGGAATTTCAATTTGCCAGGATGAAATAGCTGCTCCTACATTTGTCCTGCTTGCTGTGTCCAAAGAGTACTCTCTTGCTCAAATTAAATATTGATTATATCTTTATATTGCCATGTCAGGTTTACCCATTGTTATCAAATTACAATCTGACTGAGATTTGCATTTCATTGTTTTTTAATTTCATTTTTCTCTTTCTTTTGTTTTCTATGATTAATATTCCTGTTTATACACTGTCAGTAACCGCTAAAGCTGAATTGTTTTGATGGTATTGTCAGAGCTTTTGTTTTCTTCTTTTTCTTTTTTTCTCAACACACATGATGGGTCATAATCAAACATATTTTTGGTCTCTGCTGTTTGCATTCAAACTCAATGTGCACTACTTTTGGTTTATCCTGTCTACAAAAGCTAAAAATATCTTCTCATCTCCCTTTCATTAAAAAAAAAAGTTATAAATTTATTACACATTTATAATATAATACAGTTTTTAAAAATTCTCTCTTGTTTCAGGCATCTGGAGAAGCCATTTACACAAGTGACATGCCGACTTTCCAGCGTGAGTTGTTTGCTGCCTTTGTGTTGTCCGATGTAGCTTCGGCCACCCTTGATTCGGTAGATACTTCTGAAGCCTTGGTAAGTGTTATAGTTGTCTGTTTCTTGTGAAGAAGGCAAGATGCCTGAGTAAAAATCCTGAAATCTTTTATCTTGAATATAGCTTCATAGGAAAACAGACTTTTCAGAGTAGCAGTTGTATTAAACATATATATATTTTCCCATATTAGTGGTTGACTTTTAGGTCAGTATATAGTGTGTCAATTTTAATGGTAAAAATATTTTCCCAACTCTTCCGAGATTGGTTAATTTTTTAAGACTTCATACTTCATACGTGTAATATAACTGAGACAAGTCCTTACGCTCATTACTTTCTTAGAACATGGAAAGATCATTGATCTTTCTGTTGGGGTGCAGCATCCCTTACTACTATAGGCAGTGGTTGAATCTGCCTACCTCCTAAATGATCTAAGATATGTGGATTGGGGGATAAAACATTTAATCTACAAACATTTTTAAAATAATAAAGTGCCTGTCCACTAATTCTTCACATACTTTTTCCTGTCCAGAGCATGCCAGGAGTTGTGCGGTATGTGTCAGCAGCTGATATTCCTGAAGGTGGCGTCAATGACTACATGTCCTTCCCCTTCTTCCCTGATATGATTCCTGAGGAGGTGAGTACGTTTGGGACAGCTGTGCACAATTGTTGACGTGAATGTTCATTGGAATATTTCCGTCATCAAAACACGCCCTGTGTTGTACAATATCACACCTAAAAGAAATTTCTGCAGACATGAAGAATAAAGTTCTTCAGTTTCTGGTTATTGCAAAACTTTAAAAAAACCCAAAACAAGCAGGTTTTGATTTTGCTTTGGCATAAATGAAGTTTCAAGTTGTCTACAGATATTACCGTTATGTCCTTCAATATGTAAAGATCTCATATTATACCTTTTATTTGCTACAAAGCCGGGCCAAATTTTGCAAATATTTTCAGTTGAGCAACAAATAAACAATGGATAAAGAAAATAAAGCGCGAATCACAAGACTCTGATATGATTCGTGTATTCTAATTATTTCTGTATGTTTCAGATCTTTGCTTCAAGCAAAATTGGTTATGCAGGTCAACCTATCGGCCTGATACTTGCAGGCAAGTATTTATGATGTACCTGTTGTGTTGTGACGTTTCCAGAAACTACCTGTTTATTCATAGGCTCAATGACGATTTACATGCAATAATGATGTTCCGCTGAGACTGATAATATTGCTACGATTTTGGGGTTTAATCTCATCTGTTTAAAAGAAACAAAAAAACCCCAACCTAACAAACATACAAACAACAACAACAAAAGACAATGTTATATACAGGTATAGAGCGTGCACTGTGGAGAATCTACAAGACAGTTTGAGCCTTTCATATTTAGAGTAATTTAGGTTACAGACCGCACAAATTTTGGGTTTATGTGTCTAGCACTCCTCCTAAAAGAGGGCATCAAAAGCAGTCTCACTCAAAGTGTATTTACGCTCTCTCTCTCTCTCTCTCTCTCTCTCTCTCTCTCTCTCTCTCTCTCTCTCTCTCTCTCTCTCTCTCTCTCTCTCTTTCTCTTTCTCTCTCTCACTCTCTCTTTCTCTCTCTCTCTTTCTCTTTCTCTCTCTCTCTTAATTGGAGAAACTGATAAATCTAAACACCCTTTCAACTGCAACCCCCCCCCCCCTGCCCCCCCCCCACCCCCCACCCCCCCCCACACACACACACACACACATACACACACACACACATACACACTCAGACACACACATACTCACACACACACACTCACACACATACACACACACACACAGGCATACTTTGTATGCATTTGAAGTACAGAATTTACGTTTTATGTAATTATTTTTTCACGTAAACTAAGTCAAACCATGTCATTAACTTGTTCAGCACTTTTTGCTTCTCCAGGTATCTTCTCAAGCCGAATATTGAAAGAATTATTTGTTTGTTGTTTGGGGTTTTACTTTTTTTTTTCATTGCTAAAGACTTTCTCAAATGCAACGAGGTATTGCTTTAAGAACTATTTATAAATTCTATTTGCTTGATTCACAGAGACCCAATCATTGGCTGATAGAGCAGCCAGCAAGGTCAAAGTCAAATATAGCAACATTGGGGAGGCTGTGTTGACTATAGAGAAGTCTCTGGAGAAGAACCTGGTTTTTGAAAAGAAAACGAAAGAACTATCCAAAGGAGACACAGCAGGTACATTATCAATTTGTTTTACGTTTATCTCTGGCTTTGTTTTGTTACAACTTTCTTATTCCTTCTTGAAATGTCTCTTCTCACGGACTCTCAGTCCTGTGTCTTTGCTATGTTGATAGTGCTGTAAAATGTAGGCTACTCAATCAAACACATCTGTGTTATTTTAAGAGAGCATGTGCTCTCCCTTCAAAATTACCTGTTGTGCTTTTAATCAATCTCTGAAAGAAGGTCAACAAAGATGGATAAGCTCAGCTGAAGACAAATATCTTGTGCAAAATAAAGGAGGAAAATAAATTATGAGTTGAAATTATTCATTCTATTCTATCAATAATTTTTAAAAAGATTTTGATTTTGTTTTTGTAAAGTGTTTTACGGTGCTCGCAACTGCATAGGTCATATGAGCGCGCGGGACACACCTAATATTTTCAGTTGGTAGGAAATTTTGAATTTTGCCCGGGTGGCGGCCGAAGCCTACTCTTATCGATTTTAGACCACCAAGGGATCTTTAACGTGCGCAACTTGCACACGGGCCCTCCGAGATTTTTCGCCCTTGTCCGAGAAGGCTAGATGTAGATCTTTCCTACCAGAAGATCAGGGGTGTGGCAGAAAGACAGCGGTAAGGGGGGGCCAAGGAGTAGCAGTAGGCTGCAGAAAGAGTCAGGAGCCCAGAAGAGGGGGCAAAGGAGGTGAGGGGATGGGGGCAGAAAGTGGAAATGAAAGCAGACAACAGAACATTGCTAGAGAGCAGGAAAGGAGGTGAAAGGAGACAATTTTAGAGAAGAAAATTTTTTGGTCGCTACCCGGATTCGAACCCGGGACCTTTGAATGAGAGGCCAACACCTTAACCTCTAGGCCACGAGAGCCCCCCTAAAAAGATTGTGCTATATATAAATAGAATGATAAGAAAATTAGATTTCAATTCTCTTTGGTCTTATATTTATGTAAATCATCTGAAGGCTCATTTGTGGGAGGGAAGGCAATGTTGGCAAAACCACTTTAACTTTGTTTTCTGTCAAAAATGCATTTGTGTCACAACGCGGTGGAATCAGGCGCTCGTCAATTTTGGAGCATATGGAGTTATTGATTTCATCTTAAAGGTTGTTCATTTGCCTTGCTTTCGGTGAAAAAAATATGCATTTATCTCGAATAGAAATGGTGATATTTGCAATTGAAGGAGGTGGGGTCGCTTGGTTTCAGAAGTACAATTAGCGAAAAAATGGCCGTCAAAGTTCGGTGACTTCCATAGCTTAAGAGTCCTTGCGGAAACTGCGAATTCAAATTTTGCGTGCCTTTAATCAATGTTTTTCCATAAAATCCACACTTAAAAGAGTTGTTGAAAGGACATGATACAAGGTGTTGAGCCAAAAAAAAATCCCCCCCCCCCTCCCCAAAAAAAATTCCATACAGGCGGAAAAAATGCAGATTTCTCGGTTTTCATTATTTTGATGAGCGCCTGCTTTCACCACGCTGCCTCACATTTAGATCCATTCAGACCTTTTGCCACCGCTAACTGATTTCCTTTTCTTATTAGCTGTAACAACAAAATTAGAATGGACACAAACACTCTATCATATGCTCTCTATTACACAACATTAAATAAACTCAGCAGCTTGTGGATCACAGACTAATGTTGAACATGACACACAAAGGAGAGTATGACACCTGTTTTGAAGTAATCACTTAGCCTGTGGGCTATCAGACTTTATTTTTTAATTTTCATTACCATTGTTGTATACTTGACCATGATGTGTCAAACTTTGACTTGTTACTTTGTATGTTGTCTACTGGTGAATGAAAAAGAAGTGTATTCTCTCTCCTGTAACTCCTCAGCTGCTTTGGAAGAGGCTGAGGTTGTCATCACTGGAGAAGTTAAAGGCGGGTCTCAGAACTACTTTTTCTTGGAGAACCCGGTAAGTGATGCAGTCGTAAAAAGGTGTGAGTAAAACAGATACATGAACAAATGAAAGTCAAGAAGTAGAAGTTTTATTCTTTTTGTGTATCTCCCCTATATAGATAGGTTTCGCTTATGGTCAGATTATTGAGGTCTTTCATTCAACCCATTGGTCAACTGATTGCTTACATTTATAGCAATAATATTCCAATTTTAAAAGCATTTTTTACTACTTTTTTACTACAAAGCAACTAAGCATAGTATCTTTAGCTTTGGATAAGACTGACTAGAATTATTTATCTCAAAGGTCATCCATGACAAAACTGCTTTTACTCAACTGTAAGCTACAAAATGTGTCTACTGGACATGTATTTTTCTGTGTCTGTCAGGTGGCCCTGGGTGTTCCCTCAGAGGATGGCATTGACTTGTACTCCTCCTCACAGTTTCCAGATCACTCACAAAGAATGGCAGCTCGAGCCCTGAACAAACCCAATAACTAGTGAGTACTCAACCTCTACTTCTGGCACTCCATCAACATCTGAAAATTGGTTGAAGAGGGTGCATAAAATATAAGCGTAACTTTTATTTCACGCCAAATGTTGTATCAAAGTGAGTGAACGTGTTAGGGGCTGAATATGTTGGTTAAGTGCAGTCTGGTTTCTGTCCTATTTTAATTTTTTTTTACATTTATTTTCTTGTGGACAGTTGGAGGGCACCACTGGTTGGTTCTACTTTTTTTGTCCTTCTCTTGTCTCTGTCTTACTTTTTCCTTACATGCAGAAAAATGTTATTCTTTTTTGTCTTTTCTGAGATGTTTACTCTCATCCTTTTAAAATCTAAAAGAGGGTGAAGGTTTGTCTTTTTTCCTTAACTTATTTGCTCCCGACTCACTCTCATGCTTATTCTTGTGGGCCTTCTTACTTTGTCGTTAATTTACCACGTACGTGGGTTGTTGACGGGTGCTCTGGTGTGGTTTGCTTCTTCTTTCCTATCAAACATCTTTCGTTTTTATCTCCCCTCCTTCTTTTTTGTGTGTTACTCTCATGTAACACCTCTAATCTTTGGCACTTATATGACCTTATTGTGTTGCAATTGCCATAAAACACTTACTAAAACTAAGACTTACCATGTACTTGTTTGTTTATTCTTTTCTCTTCCACGTCAAATTTGAGTGCTCTTTTCCTGAGATGCAAATCATTCCTTGTAGTTGCTTAGTATCACTTACTGAATGAATACCAACCCCCTTTTTTTATAAAAGTCCATATATGTCTGTGGAGCTTCCAAGTTTCTTCAAGCTTTGTTCATGAGACTCTATTTCACAGCCATTTGAGCATGACTGTTGAATTTTTTTTACAGCTTCAATGTGATAAACGCCCGCCTGGGTGGTGGTTTTGGTGGGAAAGCTCTGTTTGCCACCCTGCTGTCCTCAGCTGCTGCAGTGGCCTGCTATGTGACGAAAAGGTAAAAAGGCCTTCATGATGATCTTGTATCTTAGCAAATCATTGTGACACATTTAAACCTGAGGTTGGAGGCTCTCGTGATCTAGAGGTTAAGGTGTTTGGAATTTTTTTCTCTAAAATTGTTCTCCTGTCACCTCCTGTCCTCCTCCCTTAACAACGTTCTGTGTTCTGCTTTCGTCTCCTCTTTCTGAAAAGTAATTTTCTCCTTACTATGCTTATTCTGCTAGTCCTTCTGGGATAAGAGTTTGAACTGATGGAATTATCTTTGAACTCTTTGTGAGAGACACTGTTTTTGATTTAGGCCTTATGAATTTTTAGTCTCTGGGTTGTTTTTTAAATATTGGGCTGTAAAAGGTACTGACTGTCAGTTTGATGCCATTTTTGTTTTTTTTCGGATTTTTTTTCTAGGCCTGTTCGCATCTGTCTTGACCTTTCCTCAAGTTTTAAAATGAACTGCAAGAGGTTCCCAATTCTTGCCAAGTACAAAGTAAGTGAAATCCTTATTTAGACTGGGGAAATGATTTTACTGAGTATGACCATAATTTTTCTATCCTCTTGAATTTGCCCTCAATAATTAGCCTTCTGGCATGAAAAAACATGTGATACTGGTGTGGTTAGATGGGGTTGTGTGTATTGGTGGAAAGGGGGGGGGGCTGTAAATGATGTTATAGACAAACCTATGAGTGTTCTACCTTTAAAAAATTAATGGAAAAACTTGCTGTTATATGAAAAGAATAGATCAATCAAGTTCTTTTTAATGTGATCACCCCCTTTCTATTGCTATACAATCACATATCTAGCTGAGCTTCGATCTGTTAATTCCTTGAAGATTTCATTGTATACTACTTTAATATCTTTTGCTTTTCAGGCTGGGTTCAATAAAGATGGCAAACTGAAAGCCATTGAAGCTGAGTTGAATGTGGACAGTGGGTGGAACCCAACATTTATGGCTGGTGAATTTTCTTCCCACATGGATCAAGGTATGACTTCAGCTTTTTGTCAGTGAATGTGCCAACAGTTTTTTCCTGAATCGCAGAGTGTTTGACCTACATGCTTGGTCATATTGTTCCAATAATGCATATATTGACTATTGCTGGTATACTTTCTGCTTTTCAAAAATACTAACAACTCATGTCTGAATATCTTTAAATCATTATTTCTTTTATTTGTGTCTCTTGCTATAGGTAATTTAAGAGCATGGGCCTAAAACTTAAATGGTAAAGGAAACAAAGGCAGGCAGAGAGAGAAGATAGTAAACAACATGGCGACTTGGTTGGCCTTTGTGTCACAATGCAGTAGAATCAGGTGCTCGTCAGTTTTTAGGCATGTAAAATTATTGGTATCATTTTAAGTTTGTTTATTCGTCAATCTTGCGATGAAAAAATACGCATCCATCTTGAATAAAAAGTGGAATATTTGTGATTGAAGGAGGTGGGGGCCACCTGGTTTCAGAGGTAATAAAATTATTCAGTGAGATAAAGGCCGCCAAAGTTTTTTGACTTCAATAGCTTGAGATCTTTGAAAACTGAAAATTTGTATTTGTGCCTTTAATAAAAAAAATTTCTGCAAAAACTCACTCAGAAATGTGTTTTTAAATGGACATATAAGGTGTTGAGTCAAAAAACAAAAATTTGATAAAAATTTCCAAACCAGCAGAAAAATCTTCTATTTCTTTAACTTGACCAGCGCCTGATTCCACCACGATGCCTCACATTTAGAATTTAGACTTATACCTGCCTATGGAGATTTGCATAAGGTTTGGTGTTTGATGATAACAATATGGAGGATATCCTCCATGGATTCATTGTGAACTCAAATGTTAGGTTGGGAAGGAGCTCCTTGAGTTACCTCAAAGGAATTTTCCAAGATTCATGGGCTCTGTGCTGTTGTAGAATATAGATATTCTTAGGATTTTGCCTTTTAAAGAATTTGATTTGTTTGAAATAATGAATGCAGAACTAACAATTATATATTACTCGCTGAAATGTCTGTATTGTCCTCTATCATGCAGAGAAAAGCTAAATATTTTTGTTGTTTGCTCTTCTTTTTCTTTTTTTTTTCTTCTCTTGCTCCTTATCATCTCTATATTCTTTCGTCTTCTTTGTTCCTCATCTGCGTTCGCAAGGCACTTTCAATTAAATAAATATTCGTTTCTTTTTGGTTTGTCTCTTTCAATCACTCAGGCTACTTTGTTCCTAACTGGAAGGTCACTACAAGGCTGGCAAAGACAAACAAACCTACCTCGCAGGCTGTTCGTTCACCAGGTAAGATGCCTGTTGTTGTTGTTGTTGTTTTCAAATCCCTTTAGCTGCGAGCATTTTGCTCTTGGCAGCGCAATGCCTCCCTCAAGTAACCACATGTCCTTGTCATCTGGTCAACGCCAGAGTAGAGCAGGCTTTGTAAGTCTGTAGGTATGTGTAGGAGCCTGTGTAGAAGAACTGCCAGGTTTGGGCAGTGAAGGAGAAGATGTTCAACGGTCTCCTCATGGTAGTTACAGTGTCTACTATGGGGTTCCCACATGGGGTTAATATTTATGCACTTGTTGGTGTGTAAGTGTCCTGTGCGTGCTCTGAAGATCAAAGTCTGATCAGCTCTACATAAGAGATTATGAGGGTCTTTGGGGTTGGGTTTGTCTATGTACCTGAAGAAAGATCTTCCTGTTTATGCATTGGACCATCTGTTTAGCCACTCGTCTCTGCTTTTGACTTAGATGATCCCTCTGCAGGTTTGTAAAGAGGCGGCTGTGTCTGTCTGGGGCAGGCTTGCTCCAGTCTTTGAAAGCTGGTCTGCAGTCTCATTCCCTGGTACTCCAGAATGGAGTGTGACCCCGATGCCATATAGGTAGTGCCCATCTGTTTTTCAAGGCTGAGAATGTTCCCGTCACCTCTGTAGTCTCCTCCCTCGACGGCTTGGAGTACTGACATTGAGTCAGAGAAGACAACAACATCCCCTGGTGTTACTGTGCCTTCAAAAAAGTCTTGGGTGATCTGCTCCAGGGTCTTTACTATGGCAACTCACTCTGCGTCATAGTTGGAGCTGTATGTTCCACACGGGCCAAATAGTTGAGTCTGCTTCTTCTCTCCAAGGTTGTTTCGATATGTAAGGTGCATGGAACTGTAGACCTAGGCATTTAGTTATAGTTTTTCAGAAATTCATGTTTTTGTGAGAAAAAATTTGTGGATTAGATCAAGAGTAAATATGTTTGTGTGCATAAAGAAAGGTACCAAAAGTCGGATTTTGACCATTTTGAGTTAAGGGTTGTAGGCCATCCAATTTTGAAAACAGTGATTTTTTAATTTTTGAGATATCCCAAGTAGTTTATTTTTAGATATTGCACATTTTTGAGGTAGGGTATAAAGATCTAATTTTGAGAAAATTAGCTTTTAAGTTTAGGACACATACAAACTTGAAAAAAAATTATGAATCAATTATTTCTACTGAATTTATTCATGGAAAATTCATTTCCAATTTGGCATTCAGCTGACATCAATATCAAGATTAGAATTCAATGGTAAAACATAGTGGGGAAGAGAAAACATACCTCAAAAATATATTTTAACACCTTCTAAAAGCAGTTTTTATTATCTCTTTAAAACTTACCCTTGTCTCAAAATTATTCAAAATAAAAGATTTAGAAGTCAAATCAATGAAAACCCTTTTAGAAAATGATGGAATTATCTTTTATTCAATGAAAACACATTTTGGTCAATAAGTGATATTTTGGTCATTTTCAGCCTATAGCTTAAAATGGCCTTTTGGTACCTTCTTTAGGCACACACACATATAGTAACTTGCAAATAAGTCTTTATCTAGGCCTTCTCAGTTCAGGCCCTGTATCTCGGACTGTTGGCTCTGGCATTGGAGGCCGGGCCCATTCGCGGAGGGTCACTGTGAAAAGCGGCGATAGACAAGTGTGCTGGTGCGGTTGATGGAGCATTCTCGCACTGTACTCACTAGACTGGCCCACAACGAACCCTACTTAAATTCAACACATTTTTGTTGTTGCTACTTTTTTGTGAGAGTTTATCGGCTCTTATAACAAAGGAAGATCACATCAGTAACAGAGTGTATATCAATTTGTCAACATAAAAATGAATTACATTTGCATTTTACCATGAAATACAGACTGTGGAACACTAGTGGGATAACATTGGTTCTTCACTTGCAACCTGTGCAAGAGACATCGTTCTCATTCTACAGGTTTTAACAAACATGAAAGAAAATTAGTTTGCCACACATGCACGCACACATGCACCCACGCTTACACATACACACACACACACATACACACACACACACACACACACACACACACACCTGAAAAAGTTACTGTTTGCATGGCAGCTTTGCTATTTTTTTCTTCGCCTGTCCTTCATTCCACAAAGTACTTTGCTCAGCAAATCTTTTCATGAAGATATATTTGCCAACCGCATCAGCTTGCGATATCAAGATATGGAATATAGCCGGAAAGTCCCACAAAATCACTACTAATCCATTTCTGCCCAATTTTTCAGTGGTTTTCAAAAAACAAAACAAAAAGAACAAACAAAAACTAAAAAAAAACAACAGCAACATCAACAAGTAGGTCAACAATGTCTCTCTGGTAGGTTACACTCGAAGTGCAAAATTTCATTCTGACTGACTCTAGCATGTGACAACATCTCTAGTGAAGCCGGATGCCTGATGCGCCTCAGTTTATGAAGCTTCATATGAGAAGTCTTTCACCTTGTCATGGGTATAGCGAACAACAGTAAAATGCATGGAAAATTAAAAAACAGGGCTATCTCGAGTTCTGCTGAGCAAAACAAATGAATGATAATCTTAACTCTTTGCAACATTGCCACTGGATGTCAGCTTTATTTCCGTTGTTTGATAAAATGAATCGAACTTGAAAACATCTCTTTCTTTAAAAATATTCACTTCATCAATATATCGACAGCTTCAGAAGCTGAACTTTTTGTAGTTGTTCTCTCTCAAATTTTTTTTTTGGGAGCTGGTGTGCCACAGCATGCAGGTGGTACTTCTGGAAATATTGATGGAGGTCTGTGAGCACCATAAATCTTCCAGCTCGTACCAAAGGTACATTAGGAGGGAAATAGTGCTGAGAGCAAAATCCCATATGATCAGTGACATCTTCTACAATTAATTTATTTTGGACACTTTTGATCCTTTGTTCTTTTTTTTTTTTAGTAATCTTTTGGAAATCAATTTATTGTTATTTTGCTATCTCCCTTTTGGCTGGCATAACCACTTCTACTGCCCCATCCCCTACACTTTCTTCCCATGTTCATCACAAGGTTCACATGCTCTGAAACTGAGATGTCAGCTGAAAACTTTTTCACGGTAACAATAACATTTAAGATGAAAAAAAACTAGAATCTGAGGTAAATACCAAAACACATAATATAAGCACAGTGTACAGATTTAATCCTTTGAATTGAGTGTAGCGAAAATACATCTTAACGAAAAAAACGCGTACATCCAAGAGCACTAAATGAAACAATGAAAAGGCTAGGGGATTAGACAGACTAGACGACTACACTCACTGCACACAAACTATCGGCACGCAAAAGCTTTATGCAAGAACGTTCCATCATCTGTATATGTATTAGTAGGCCTATTAGAGCATATTATCTGCCTTTCACTCTGATCCTCAACAAGATAAGGACTTGTCTCGAAGCGAGCTTTTATCAAGATAAGGTCGTCCATCCTAGCTTCTACTGCCGGAGCCAACCGTCCGAGATACAGGGCCTGAACTGAGGCCTAGGTCTATCATTAGAGGGTACAAAAGTTCTAATGCTTTCATCTGTGCTACGCCTATTTTGACCTTGACATATCTAAAGTTTGTACAGATCCAGCAGAAATGTGTAAGAAACGATTTTCTTTTAATAAGTTACAAGGACAAACTATCCCACTCAAACTACTCTTTTTTTTCTTTTTTTTTTTTCCCTGTGTCCTGATTTTGGTGCCCGTTTTTGTTGGTTACGTAAAAAGAAAGTAGTGGTGCAGATTGTTATATGAAAGGGGAATTGTTGAGTAGGTAAGATGGTGATGATGATGATGATGATGATGATGGTGTTGTTGGCGATGGTGGCGGTTATGGTAATTGTAATGGTGAGCATGAGGATGATTATTTATGTTGGCGATGATGATGTTCTGATGTAGGAGATGACATGCGTATTAGTCTTAGTGTTAAGTTTGTTTGGTGCTTACTCTAGATCCCCGCCAGGCTGTCCTGGGGGGCAGGACACAACCCTTATTCCCAACTCCTCGCATAGATTCGTGACCAAAAATTTGGAAATGATTCGTCATCTTCATCCCTAGCATTTCATAAAAGTAGGCCGAAAAATCTCATGGGGGCCGCTTCTAAGTGATGACATTGTTAGTGTGTTTGTTACCCTATGTCTATGCTATCATATTTTCAAAACAGTGAAAGGAATGTGGCCAATAATCTTCGTAAAAATTAACTTTCATAGATAGTCAAAGCAGACTAACTTGTGTGCTTACAAGTTATCGTTATCATCGTTCGCAACCGGTCCCGAGGCACTTCTGTGGTCGTCGGAGCATGTAAAAAACCATTCAAACTACTTTTATTATATATTCAAAGTCAAGTTTTTAAAATTCTGAAAACAGAGTTTACTAATGTTTATGTAAATTCTCCAGGTAATATACCAGCAGCCCTTGTAATCGAGTCAATCTTGGAGCATGCAGCTAAGGAGCTCAAAATGCACCCAGTCATGTTTAAAGAGTTGAATCTATATGAGAAGGGACAGGTATGTATATTCTGTATATGTCTTCCAAATATGTGTGTGTGTGTGCCTATAGAAAGGGTACCAAAAGTCGCACAGACTGTCACTTTTTTTTACCAAAATGTGTTTCCATTAAAAAATAATAGTTCCACCATTTTTAAACAATATGCTAAAGGGGTTTTCATTAATTTAACTTCTAAATATTTTGAGACTAGGGTATTAACCAATAAATTGGCAAAAAGATATTATTAATCCGAATACAGGAAAAAGAGGCTAAAACAGCAACTGGACATGGATGGCTGGTGCCTCTATAAATAAATCATTGATGGTCAGGTCAGACTAGGGTATTTTTGAAAGAGATAATGAAAACTGCTTTTAGGTGTCAAAATCTATTCCTGAAGCTTGTTTTTTCTTCCCCGCTATGTTTTATAATTGAATTCTAATCATGATATTGATGTAAACTGAATACCAAATTGGAAATGAATTTTCCATGAATAAGTACATTAGAAATAATAGAATCATCGTTTGTTTTTCAAGTTTGTGTGTGTCATAAACTTAAAAGATAATTTTCTCAAAATTAGATCTTTACACCCTACCCCACAAAATGTGTAATATATCAAAAACTACTAGAGATATCTCAAAAATTAAAAAGAACCATTGTGTTCAGAATTGAATTTCCTATAAGGTACAACCCTTAACTCAAAATGGTCAAAATCCGACTTTTGGTAACTTTCTTTAGGCACACACACATAATAATATGCTAAGACATGGGGGTAGATTAAACGCGTTCGTGCACAATCTTTTGTGCCTTTGGGCACGATACTAGCTCAGCTGGTATTATACTACATAGTGTGGATGATCCTATTTAGAATTCCCAACCGGCGCATTCTTAAACTTATGTTGTTTGGTGAATTTTCGATTTTCGAGTCTGCCTACTATCGGAGACAGCCATCAATTCTAACATATTCACTTCTTAACTCTCTACATGCCAATCTATGACATATCATCTGTATGGTATTACCTCTCCTTCAAAGCAGACCTTTTTTCTTATATGCAGAACTATTCTCTGTGTATATTTTTTTCCTTGTGCTTTATTCTTTTGCGCTCATTATGACATAGGCCTATTATAAATAATCTAAATTTGGTCACTTAAGTATCCTAACACAGTACACACTAAACCTTTAAACTTGTCACATTTACAATACGCTTGCCTGGTAAATGCATGGAAAACCTTCTGTAGGCCTGTATTCCATGATTTATCTGAATTATCCTTTTACAATCTCAGACTGAGATCCATGGTGTTAAACTGGACCACTGCACCATTCGTGAGGTGTGGCAAAGACTCAAACAGACAGCAGACATTGATGCTAGACTCAAGGCAGTGGAAGCTTTCAACAAGGTTGGCACTTTTGTACATCCCAGCTCAAAGGGCGGGACATGAACTTGTCTGATAAAGTTATCTTCCCAAATTAATGAAAATCTTTTGTTTTTATGTTTTCATTTGTGGAATGTCAATTGGAGAAAAAATTGTATTTTGAAAGATATTCACGCTATTTTGATTTTGATTTTATTTCCTATGATGTTATAGCTACTAGACAAATTCACTTTTCATTCTTGTGACCATAAAAGTTATTCTTTTGGTCCAGTTGTTGTAAACAACATAATATTAACATTCTAGAAATGTGAGAGCTTGAGTGCATCTATGCAGAATTATGCTTTCCAGAATTTTTTTTTTTTTTTACTTTTTAAATTGATAAAATGCTTTTCCTTTTTGGCTTGTTACTTTATTAGAAATGTTAATCAGATTTAGCAGAGTTTGTTTTTTCTGAGCGCGTTCTTCTCTGCCAACTTTTATTTCATTTATGACATTTTGTGTTTCAGAGCAATACCTGGCGCAAGCGAGGCTTGACCATGACTACAGTAAAGTATGGAATGAACTACTTCCCCCCAGGACACTACTGTAACATCTCTGTGTTTGCTGCTGATGGCACTGTGAGTGTCATGACCTCAGGAGTGGAGATGGGCCAAGGGCTCTACACAAAGGTGACCCCGCAGTTCCTCATGGTTTATGATATATTTATGATATACTTTACTTTACTTTTCCAATCCAGCGGCTGTCTGGGTTCTAGCTCTTTGGCCTGTCTATATGGTAAAGAATTTACAGGTTTTTATCCGTTGTGTTTTGTCGCTGTATGAAGTATTTCCGATATCTGGGGCGAGGCAGGTAGGTAGGTGCTATGTAGGTTGCCAAGTGCAGGGCAGGTAAAGAGGTGGCAGTCATCCTGGCAGTCACCCAATGGGCAGTCAGGTGGGGTATCCTTGCGGATCTTATTTAGGTAGGAATTCAGTGGGAAGATCTATGGTATGTCATGTATAAAAAATATAATGTTTAACACGAGCTGAAACATTTAAGGACTGTGGTGAATTGTTATTTACGTAGGTAAAATTATAGCTTTCCACAAATGAAAATATTTTCATCTGTACTATGAATTCAGCAATAAATTGCGGTCTAAATTTTGAAATAAGTCTATAAAAGATGTGTTACTTTTTTATAGTATATGGATTTCATGAGACACTGACTGTTTATAACACTTTCCTGCCCTCGTGTTCAGGTTGCACAAGCTGTGGCGAAAAACATGAACATCCCAGTGGACAGAGTGAAAGTGCGACCCAATCAGAACAATGTCACCCCCAACCCAGGGTTCTCGGGAGGCAGCTCTACCAGTGAGATGTGTGTCGCGGTACGATCCTTTTTTTTTTTAGCTATCTGTCTTTGTCAGTTTGTACAGTTCTGTTTGCAGCATCCAGATTTATGTTTTGTTACTAGGGCATAGATGTATGAATCACTTTGAAATAGTAAATTTGAGTCCAACGGGATCATACTGTATTAATGAAAACAACGACAAAAACATTGTGGCTCACTTGATTTGACAAGGTAATAAGTCACAGTTGCCAGGTATTTACTTCAAACCAACTGTTGTACCTCAGTTTCAGTATTTTGTTTTATAATCTAAAACTGATAATGCTTTAGAGTTGTGATTGTTACTTATAGCCTATGCTTAGGAATTGTTTTTGCTTGCTGTCTGTGTGTGACCAGTTTAACTAATAAAGCTTTCAAGTGTTTTAAACTGAAAATGATACTATTCTTTATAGTTACTCCTATGAATTGCAGTTGTCAGAGAGTTTTTGTATATGTGTACTATTTCTGTGCTATTGCATACCAGCTTCTGTAGTGTACTTTAGTGGTTATTATATGTGCTTCGAGATCACATGCAGAAAATCCAAGTTCGATTCCCGTGTGAAGGAAATATTATATTGAGCGTCGAGGTCTTTCTGCTGGGACTAGTCAGTCCAAGTTGGCCCTAACAGGTTGGATAAAGCCCAGCTCCTAAATAATATAGATTGTGTTGATTGGGTATAAAACATCGACATTAAAAAATGCTTAGACACAAATAAATCATTTTGAAGGTGAAGCACGAGCCTAATGGTCCAGTACAATGTTTCATCTTGAGATCATTTACTTAATTTTTGTTATTGTTTCTCATTTGAACTTACCTTCAGGCTGCTCTTAATGCTGCAAGCCAATTGACTGAACGCCTCCGCCCTATTCGAGAAAAGATGCCAGATGCCGACTGGAAAACAGTTCTTGGAACTGCCTGGGCCAGTAGCATGGACTTATCCGCTCGAACAAAGTCAGTAGGCCCCTACATGTACTGTGTAAATTTTAAAGAGATTACTCATTTGTTGTAGAATGTGAACAGCTTGAGGGTTCCAAACATCTGGGATTTCTTTTTAAGACGTAACCAGTCTTTTCTGTCTTGTTTTACGTTCTAAGCTGTGCAAAAGGAAATTTAACTGAAGAATAATTATATAGCCATGGATTGAGCTGAATGTATTTATAGATAAATAAACAAAGTTACTATTTTCAGCATGTTTATGTGTCCCCCACAGTATTTTGCTGTAGTGCAAGTGCAGATTGATTATGACGCCTCTTAAATTCCTTGTATGAAAAAAAACTCCTGAAATATTTCATAGAGAGTGACTTTCTCTGTACAAATTTCCCCAAAACATTGACTCATTCATTTACTGTCCACTCTGCTGAAAATATGTGCACTTATATCGGGTGCCCATTAGCTGGATCAAATCAGGTCGAGTCGGGACAATTAATGCCGGCTTCAAAGCTCACACTATGAATAAACCCCTTGTTGTGTCCAATTGGACAAGAACAGGAAGTTTTGGCTGGTGCGCCTACAAGCCTTGTCATTGGTGTTCACATTGGGCTGTTTGGCTTGTGTCTTTGAAAACAAAAAGTGTTTGATTTTTTAAGGTCACTGTTGAATTCAGTAGAACTGTACCAAAATAGTAGCTTTTGCCCCCTCATGAAGGAAAATGTGGCTGGCTCCGCCTGAATATAATAAGTCAAATTAGCAGTGTGCACTGGGTAAAAGCATTGAAGCCATGCCTCTTGGATACTTGTTGCTTTGCTCTATCACTGTTTACATTCAGTGTTGAACAAATTCTACATGTTCAGATGTTTTCAAGACTCACTTTTACATTATTTATAAGTTTCCGTATAACTGACGGCTTAAAGATTATCTTTATAATGCATCAGTTTATGACTGGATTCTAATATCTCTCTGTGCTTGTGTTGAACACAGATGTGACACTACTAAGGGACAGCAGTACTTCACTTACTGTGCTGGAGCTGTGGAGACAGAGGTGGATGTTCTCACCGGAGAGTTCCAAGTGAAGAGAGTGGACATTATGTGCGACTTTGGCGAGAGGTAATTCTCTTAAATGGTGGATTTTACTTTAAGTGCTTCCTTATTCTGTAACCAGCCATGATGCTTCTTTCCAAATTCAAAGAATTTGAATAATTCATTTATTTTTGTTGATAAGTGATGTCACTAATTTCTATTTTTCTCTTCAAATGCGTGACCTTCCCTAACAAGAGGTACACAATCCTTTTTTTTTAAAGCTGCCTTGGCTGCTGCTAAAAGTTGAAGAAGGCTGCCATTTATATATAAAGCACTCTTTATTTTCCTGAAGAAATTGCTTACCAGTTTTATGGAGGGCAATATTCAAAGGTTGGGTGTTGCTTTATAAAATGTGAGGATAATTTTCTTTTTTAGTAGGGATGGATATTCACATAAAGTTATTAATGACTATAGAATTACCAGTTTTCTAAAGTGAAATATATGAATTTCCTAAAAAACTTAGGCTAACATTATTCATTCCTATGCTGAAGGTAAAAAAATGCATGGGTAGACTCAGAGCAGCTTGGAAAGCCTCAACAGATGGGTGATGGGAAAAGACCAAGGTAACAATATTAATATTGTTTTAAGAGAACCCGAGCAAAGAATTGAATGGCAAGCCATGATCGCTGATATCCATCGCAAATTTTGCACTTGATGATGATGATCATGATGATGATATGAAATCTTACCACAACTTCGTCCATTTCTCTGTTGACAGCTTGAACCCAACCATTGACATTGGCCAAGTGGAGGGTGCTTTTATCATGGGTCTGGGGTCTTACCTTCTTGAGGATGTCCACTATGATGCTACCACTGGTCAACTGCTCAATGATGGAACTTGGGTAAGTTCTACAACATTCTGGAAACTCTTGTATTTGTATATGTGTTGCCATGTTATGACACCTTTCAAATAGGTGCTTTTTCGTGATTTCATCAAGTGCTGCAATTTCTATTTATTTCTACATTTTCGAAATCATATGATTTTATTTCTTTTATTAGCTTTTATTAGAACTTGAAATATGAAGTTATGTAATGAAAAGGAGTGAATCATGATGCACTGTAATTCTTTTCTTACTCTTACCTTTTAATTATTTGAAGTTGAATCAGTCTGTAAGGACAGTGCTTGAGTGTTGATAAGATTTGCTTTGAATGTAATCCCTCTGTTGAAACTTCTCACAATGTAAACTTTTTTTAAATCTTAAAGTTGTAACAGTCTGCCTCTATATTATTAGGTTGACTCAAATGTTACTAAGAAACAGAAGTTTAAGGTTCAAGTTTGAACTTGTCCATTTCCCTTCCCCTCCTTTCTGGAACAGTTTTTTATTAGCTGAGGGAGTGCCCTGAGAGAGAGGGGCTAGTGTATAAAGTTAAGCATTTAATTTGAACAAAAGCTTGAAGGAAGAAAAAGTCTCACATACATGTATGTATTAATTTGAGATAGAGGTATCTTTTATCAAATTATTTTTATGTTATTCAGGAATACAAGCCACCCACTACCAAGGACATTCCAATCGACTGGAGAATTCACTTCCTTCCTGACTCACCCAATCCTTGCGGTATTCAAAGTTCTAAAGGTGGGTGTGGCATGTTCGATGTTCAGTCTCAAAATTAACAACCAGTATTAATAAGGGTAATGGTTACATGTTTTTTTAAGTTTACAGACTTGTTTCAAGGTAATTTTTTGTCACTGTTGTAGGGAGTGTTGTAGTTTGTTCCCACTCGCCTTGTATCTCACATGAACTAACGAGTGTACTGAATGAATAATAACAGCTGGTCATTAAAGTTACTTGAACACCTCAAACAGTTAACAATTCTATGTAGATCTATGTGGCAGGTCCCGGATACGAACTATAATATATCCAATATTATTAATGAAAAAAAATTCACTTGAATCTTGGTTAGCACAGTGGTAAATTGTTCCATGCTAATGTGCCTGGTTTCAATTTTGGCTTGCAAAAAAGGTGGATGCCCTGTTTATCAATTCCAAACATCTATACTGTAAGCCAATGGTAGGTAGGGTGGTTCTTGCACCATCAATGATATAATATGGCAGCCTTAATGTCACAGGACACTGCACTCAAATAGGAACCTTCATCTTATTTATATATAATATGTAAAACTCAGCTGCATATGGGTTTGAAGAGCCCACTGTTGACTGCCCTTTAGAATTAAGACAGAAGAAGAAAAAGAGTCTCTGACCTTCACATAGATAAAAATAGTAAAAATAATACAAGTATAGCAAATTTCATTCAGTGTGGCAATTTTTTAGGACTTTCTTGCTTTCTCTTGAACAAAATGTGATGTGGTGACATATCCGGGTGGTCTTCTCATGCTACTTCTGTTCTCTGTTCTTTTTTCTTAAGCTGTCTTGGCAAAATACAGTGGCAGCTGTTGAAACTGAAAGCTACGGGACCACTAGACTTTTTTTTAGTTTAGCCACGTTTTTTATTTCGAAAGTTGCTCAAATAGAAGAAAAAATAATTGGGGATTATATTTTGTTTTGGTTTATCTCCGTTTTCAAATGAATCGTGTACAGTTTTTGACTCTTCTGTACGTCTGTACTGTCCTGACTCATTGTTAGAGATAGAGCTTTGCTCTTGAAAGGTATAATATCAGAAGATTCCGTCTGTATTCAGGTTGTGACACTCTCAATGACATAATGTTTTCTTCTCAACAGCTGTTGGAGAGCCTCCAGCAGCTCTGGGAATCGGGGCATTGCTTGCTATCAAGAGCAGCATTGAGAATCTCAGAGAAGAACTTACTGGCCAGCAAGGATTTATCCCAGTTGGTGAGTGATGCATCTGAATTTTATTTAGCCCGCATACCACTTTATTCAAGTAAAGATTTAAAATTATTTAAAGTGTAGCTGTATCAAAGGATAAGTTGGGTTTTTTTTTGGTCAATTAAAAAAATCTTAATGCTATCCATTCATATTTCAAGACTTTCTCAATATAGTCAGTGATGTGTAAATAAGCAGTTTGGAAATGTAATGCTTTTCTTTCCTGCAAGCTTTACGCAGGCTTGTTTCACTTCTTTTCCTGTGTTTTTTTTATACACATGCAATTCATTTTTCCATTTAATTCACTGTTAAATTTGTTCTGTACTTCTTCCTCTGAGGTCAGACCCCAATTTTCCCTCAAAGTTCTGAAAGACCGGTGACATTTCTCTAAAGGATTTCACTCAAGTAACAGTAACAATTCCATTATTTATTTTTTAGAAATACTTCTGATGTAGGCATTAGATTTAAACAATTTTTTGCTTCTGCAGATTCTCCGTACACAGTGGAGAAAATCCAGATGAGCACTGGCCTGTCAGTGGACCACCTCACAGCTTGAGATGGTGCACAGACACAACAGAACTCTCAGAGATGATCATATCTGAGTTTATATCAAGAAATCTGTTAACTATTCATGACCGACATAATGTTCAAACTTTCAGGAGCTCCTGAATCAAACGTGTTTTTTTCTTTTTTGATTTGAAATTTATGTAGACCATGCTTTACTAAATCCGTGAGATATTTTGTTAAGCACCTTTGTATCCAGAACACTGATATGAGGTGTGTCCATACACTTGATATTGTTTTGCTCCCCCCGTTTCAAAGGTTTCATGATTTGAACTGAAGAGACTAAAGATTTTTTCAGAATTTTTCTGTAAATAAGGGAAGTGTTGTAAACGAGACAGGAGGGCAAAGCAAAACTTCCAACATCTATCTTGAAATATTCACAGAGCTGTAAAATGGCGACTAAGATCTTACAGCCATTTCCCAGACTTCTCATGAGCAATTTATGGAAGGATGAGTTTTATATCTTACAATATTTCCCTTCTTTGACAATAAAGGTGAACTTTTATTCCTTATCAAGCGGTGTCACTTTGTGCGGAGGTGTAGACTCCCTTGTATCTTATGCTGTTTTTTTTGTTTCTTTCTGCAAAAGTTAACTACAAAGTAGGCTTATTTCAGAAGTATAGGCATATATATATAAAGAGTAGCAAAGTTCTAGATGTTGTGTTGAAATAATGTAATTTCGGAGGATATTTCGTAAAAACGTTACTACTTCAAAAATAAAATGTTGAACATATTATGTTAACACATGTACCAAATTCATGTTTATGATGGCAGTATATTGTCTCAACAATACTGTAAATGTTTGCATGTGATCAAATTTTATGATGTCCTATTTTATTGTTGCCATTTGAGAACTAATATTGTGATAGCAATCAGGTAAAGTAGCAGGGTGCTTTCAGATAATTGTTATGCGGCTTAAGAGAAACTAAAAAATAGTCAAGTACAGATGAATCAAACTCACTGAGACCACTGTGCTGCATTTCAGCATGGCATCCTGCACTGAAGCAACATTTTTATCTTAAGTGAAATTATATTTTTCTTCAGTAGAGACCATTGCGATGTCTGATTTGTCTCAAGTTCAAATTTTCACTATTTCCATGAATCATGAACTCACATATTTTCTAGATAAAGAAGAAAGCTTCATTTAACGCCCATCAATAACATGTAATAAATTTAATATTTCATTAAACTATTTATTTAAAGCCATTGATGTTGTAGTTGTTGTTACAGATCCAGTAGCTGTGGAGTTTTCATTCCTCTGCTTGAAATTAAGTGGTTTTTTTGGTATATTTCTGCTTAAGGTGTTTCACTTGTCCATTTATGGAGGAAGATACTGTTAATGATGGTGGAAGAACGTCTAATATTAATCAATGTTGTAGTCCCATTAGGTCTATACAAGGATACTTTTTAACCAGCTATCCAAGACAAGAGGAACCTTACAGTTATTTTGATATTCTACCTTTTTTTTGTATTCAGAAGCTATTTTTTTTCTTTGTAGACTCGCACGTATTGTTATCTGTCTTTATTCTATGGCATATAAAGTCAAATAAACTTACATGGATTTTTCATTTAAACAATTTTTTTGCATTTGTCCCTATGCTGACTGGGTTTTGAAACCAGCTCTTTTTCCACTTTCGTCTACTATAGCGTCTTCATAAATTATCAAGCTTAGTGTATTCCATCATTACTAAAACAAACAAGGTGCACAACCTCAGCTAACTTTCATCATGAAAAGCCTGATCCACCCCACCCCCAAGATCTCCACAATCCTACCACAGGACCATGTGCTATGACACAGAGAGAAAAACACCATACTTCAGTGACTGCTAGTTAGCCCTTCGGCCAAGTACATACGAGTAAACTGGGGAACGGGACAATATGATAAAACTAAAATTTCTTTTCCCCAACTTATTTTACGAAGTGTGCCATCTCATATGATGAGCTTTCAAAGACTATTATACTTCCTCATCTTATCTGAAAATTGTCATAATCTTAGCCTTTCAAGTTTTTCTTCCAAGTCATGTTCCAGGTATATAAATGAGGAAGTTGGTTGGCTTCTTTTTTGTACATAACAAATAAGTTCAAAGAGTTGTTTGTCCTCAGTCAGCTGATTAAACATAATTTGTTTTTGGGACAAGTCAACATCAACAACCTTGGAAGTGAACCTCTTAAAAGGTGGGCTCTCGTGGCCTAGAGGTTAAGGTGTTGGCCTCTCAAAAGGTCCCGGGTTCGAATCCGGGTAGCGACCGAAAAATTTTCTTCTCTAAAATTGTCTCCTTTCACCTCCTTTCCTGCTCTCCAGCAATAATCTGTTGTCTGCTTTCGTTTCCACTTTCTGCCCCCGCCCCCTTTGCCCCTTCCTCTGGGCTCCTGACTCTTTCTGCAGCCTTTCTACTTCTACTACTTTGCTCCCTCTTACTGCTGTCTTTCTGCCACACCCCTGATCTTCTGGTAGGAAAGATCTACATCTAGCCTTCTCGGACAAGGGCGAAAAATCTTGGAGGGCGCGTGTGCAAGTTGCGCATGTTAAAGATCCCTTGGTGGTCTAAAATCGATAAGAGTAGGCTTTGGCCGCCACCCGGGCAAAATTCAAAATTTCCTACCAACTGAAAATATTAGGTGTGTCCTGCGCGCTCATATGACCTTATGCAGTTGCGAGCGCCGTAAAAACACTTACCAAAACAAACCTCTCAAAAGGGACAAAACAGATGACTGTTCTTGTTGGTCCAGATTGAACTAAGAGCATGAGGATGATAGCCTCTCACCAGTACCCAGAATGAGAAGTTAGGCAAAGTGTTGATTGAGGCAAAAAGCATTGAACGCATAACATTCATCTATTGTTGTCATCTACATCAAGAATTGATCGCTATGACTTTCAAGGATGTCAAGTACAAGAAGACCATGGCTTGTTCTTGTGGTAGTTAGTAGTTATGTGTTTGTCAGTTAAGCCATGTTATAGCATGTTACACAAAATAAAGTACGAAGAAAGGATATTTTTATATTCTATACACTTTATTTCTTTCCTGAGTTTTCAAAAGGTGTGAGCAAAAATTGAAAAAGGTTTATAACAGTTCCATAGACTCAACCTCCAAATCGCATATTCCTTATTGTTGATAAAAATTATCTCCGTTGTGCTAACTGGTTAAAAGAAAACTGGACTCGAGGAAAGATATCAAGGATCATGCATAGATAATTTTGAGAAGACGAAAATAGAAACTGAAATCAGATGCAAAAGAAAGCTGTAACAGCCATTTCAAATTCTGGAAAATTCATGTCCTTGTGATCTCCATCCTCTAATAAAACATTCAGTGCACAATTACCATTTTAATGGAACCCCCATCCATCTATTTCACCTACATGATAAACCAGACCGAGGTCAATTTTGAGTGCATTGACTCAAATTAACAAAATATTGCATAACTTGAAAATGGTTTAATTAATATGATAGAGAGGCTTACGTTATAATAAAAAAAGGACCAGATATATAAAAGCTTGTATTCAGATGAGACCAGTCCTTTAAAGCAGGCCTAAAGAGTAATCATTATCTCGGTGAGTTGGGAAAGCTGTTATTGTTGTTGTTTTCCCAACTCACTGGGAAAGACTGCTTGCCTACACAGATAAAAGATACGGGAGCAATAAAAAAAAGCAATATACAAAGCCTTGGCCGTTCTCTCAGTAAGCTGCAGAGTAACCCACTGATTCCACAGCAGCCAGGTCAATGAAGCATAGAAATCTATTCCTCTACCAGTTGTACTATTGGTCCCTAACACCACAAAAAAGAATGGGCTGGTCAGAATACAAGTCCTTGGTTTAGATTTTGCAAACCCTACATAAAAAATATTTTCTCTCATTTTCCATTTACCTCAGTTTTTAGTTGGACGTATTTATACAATCAGCTCAGCAGTACTCGAGATATCTATGTCATATTTAAACAACTCTGATGACAATTTCTGAGATGTTTTGGTCCAGATAAAAAAATAGTTGTCAGAAAGTTCCATCAAGCTTTTTAGAAGGCAAACAACAATACTGATACTGAGGCAAAGAAACAGGAAAAAGTTGTTGAACGTGATGTTCTCATCAAAAGCCGAATGACTGAATCAAAACTTCAATTAGATGGCTTATTATACTTGAAAAGAAACTTGAATCAAGTAATACATTCAGGTTATATCTTAGAAAGATATGACTTCCACAGTGAAAAATGTTCATATCTAAGGAAAAAAACAACAACACATTGTCTACAAAAAAACCCCAACCAGTTGAGGTAAATTACGAAATAAAAGAAGCCAATGTTTACATATCTCCTCATAAACATTTTAATAAAAGCAGTAGCATCTTCCTTCATGGAATCACAAGTAACTTATCCAAGAACTTGCCATTGACTCTGATTAAGACATAAAGCAACCAGAATAATCCGCAATGATCTATGTACATTTTTTCACAAAAACTGTTGGAGGAGCTTGAGAGCGGTTCAATTAGGAAGAAAGTGACAACTTGGAAGTTCTTTACTATTTGCTCCTCCAAATAGTCCTTCACAGAAGTTCATAAAAGAAAACTCCATGCGATGTCACCTGTTTTCTTTATCTAGTGCCTCTGTCATTGTATTAACAATGGACAAATTCTGGAATTCCTCCTCACTCACAAAATCCATTGAAATTGCATTACAAACTGTTCTTGGTAACTCGCACTGTTCGAGTTTCCTGCACCTGTCCACAGGACCCAAAATGCAGGAAACAGTTTCAAGACACAAATGCATGAGCCGACGAGGTTCAGGAGCAAAGTCAGAGATAAGTCCAAGCCACGGTCTGTTCTGTTCTGCTACTTTATATATAGTAGATAAAACAAGAAAGAAAGTATTAAAAGGGTTTTCATGACAGAGATGTCTATCAAAATTGACATACGTAGGGGGCATGTGACACTTTGTGAAAAGAAATTTAGCAATGGGAAACTTTCCATACAGAATGGCAACATCAACCGGGGACAAGAAAAAATTGCAATCTGCTTGCTTCACATCTGACAATTCTGTGTGGTGCACACCCAACGAGTGGGAGATGTAAGGCTGGGACATCATGAACACTGCACCACTGGCCACTAGACGATGCGTACAAGAGAAACTGTGAGAGGCAGCAATGTTCAGAACATGCACCCCACTGGAGGTCAAGTAGTTGGGGTTACATCCTGCTGCTAAAAGAACAGAAAGGTTTTCTTCTGCTCCGATTTCTATTGCATTGATCATTGCCATGTGTCGTTCATGGGAACTGAACCACACGCCATCAGGGTCATCCTCTAGTAGATTTCTGAGAAGATTGTGAGCCTCAGGATGTTTAGCAGCCAGTAGTAATGGTGTCTGACCTAAACGTGTACTGAGGAAAGGATAACAAAAAGATTGTGTCAGGAGAGTATATTGAAGGAATGGGGGGAGGGGGGTGCATAATTTAAAACGTGGAAATTGTTGCATTGGGCATACCAAGTCTTTCACAAATTTCTGACTAAGTGAAGGTAAGACTTCTAGTCAGCCTCTGATAAAATTTGATGCTTGGTTTCTTTTGTCAAATAGTTGAAGTTTCGCTCTTTTCAGCCATCATGAAAAGTACTCGATATTGATAAAAGGACAGAAGGATGGATAGTGCAAGCGTCTCGTTTGGTGTTGAAGCTATAGAAAGGAAGAGAGTGTAGCTGATGAGCCTTTGATAACAGTAAAATTGCTCTTACATCAGATCACAATCATTAATCATGATGATGTAACCAACAAAGAGTATGCCACCCACTCTTCTTGCCTCGACTGTATAGATAAATACTACAATTATACTACAATTATACGTACCAACAAGATATATCTGCACCCCATTCCCTGAGCAGCAGGAAACAGTCAACACATCCTTCATTCTCGCCCACATGGTCAGCCGTCATTGTCAAGGCTGTGTGGGAGGAACGATCCATTTTGTTGACGTCAGCACCAGCCTCAAGCAGTGCTCTAGCAGCTCCGACCTCACCTCTCAGACATGCCCACATGAGAGCAGTCCTTTCTAATAGACAGAACAAAAGGACAGGTTGTGAGTGGTTGGCGGGTGCTCTGGTGTGGTCGACTCCTTCTTTCCTATCAAACATCTATCGTCCTTATCTCCCCTCCTTCTTTTTTATGTTTGTTGCTCTCTTGTAACACCTCTAATCTTCTGGTGCTTATATAACCTTATGCAGTTGCTAGCGCCGTAAAACCTCTACTAAAACTAAACTAAAAAAGGACAGGTTCTCAGCCAAAGGGCTATTCATGTAAATAGTAACATAATATTTTATACAAATAAGGTTCTTTAGAAGACTTCAACATCTGTGGTGTATCGGTATTCCCCTTGTGCACACAAGACAAGAGCTTTACACCTAATCAAGGAAAATATCCTATGGAGACTCTCCATCTTTCTTCTGGGATGTATCCCACATGGCACTGGTTGTCTCTGACAGATAGGGATATTGTAGCTTACCTCAAAATAATAAAAATTGTGTTGGAGGAAGCTTAAAACATTAGAATTAACAAAGATCAAAACAAAAACTGGAAATATCCCATTTGCATTGTGGGAAAAACAAAAGATAATGCGTATCACTTCCAAGTTAGGGCTGTTGTAGTTTTACCGCATTTTGTGGATCTCAGCAAATGCAGTCTTTCAACATCAGAAAAGTCTAACAACATGACTACAGTTAAAGATAAAGAAAATACTTATTCCTCATTGTGGAAGGCACACAATAACTTACTTTGACAGGTAGGAATCCCTTGGATTGTTATTTCATCCACAAGAGGGGATTACTAAGTACCCAACTCTATCTGGAGGATTTGTAGTAAGTACAGAAAAACAACTTCCCGTTTGACCTGATATTGTGTTCAGCAAAGTTGGCAGTTCAATGCCCCATTACACGCAGAATGGAATATCCCTAAAACATTGAAAAAGGAGAGTAGAGGGCTCAAAAAGTAGACGGTTATAGAAAATCAAGACGCTAAAAAGTACCACTAAGAAGTTGGCATCTTACCAAGGTTGCATGTGGCATTGATCTGAGCACCATGATGCAGCAGGAGTCGAACCACCCCAACCTGGCCACAAGAAGCAGCAAGCATGAGCAGGGACTTGCGACTTTCCTTGACTCGCTCATCCACACTGACATAGTTCACACAACCCCGCTCTGTCAACAGTTTGCTGCAGAAAGACAGATTAAATTAATGGTGATGCCAAACTAAATGGTACAGCATTAACTCCAACTAATGAAAAAAGTAGAACACACATTAACCATGTTCCTTGACATTTGTCAATGCTGTTACTTTTCATCAGGCTTATTTATTTACCTTGGCCTTGAAGAAAAATTTACTGGGCTATACTTTTTTCTATGGGCATCCTGCGGATTATTGCTCCTGCTTCTTCATAAAAGAGTAAACCAATTTCAGTGACTAGAGTCTCTAACAAACTAACAGATGTTAGTGCCAGCTCCAAAACAAGATCATAAAAGATATATGCACTGTACAATAAAAGAGTACAAACTGATACTTTCGTTATTTAACCATAGCAATGCACTTGCAGAGTCTTGTCACCATGATCAGTGCTATCATTTCATCAGCAATACTGATTTCTTCCATCTTGCCATAGCAACATTTCTATCTAATAATATTAAACCTTATACAGTAGTCTCCGCCTAAGATCTCGGTGCTCAGGAGCAAGGAAATGCGAGATCTTAAGCAAACCAGGATCTTAACCGACGAACCCTGGGAAGAATCTATGGTGACCCATGTTAAGGCTCACAATTGGTAAAATGGTCTCCCTCTACTCCACAATGAACTGACATGACCCCTTGGTGGGTTTATGGCATATGGCGAGCAAAGAGTGGTTAACCTTGATGACCTATCACAGTGCATAGTGGCATGACGCGTGCCTTTTTCACTTATTATCCTATCATGAGTCTCAAGGTCTACGCTTATCCAGTTGCCCCTCCCCTTTACCTGTCGAAAATTTCTAGCTTTCCATCTCTGACCGAGTCTCTACTCCCAAATTACCGAGCCCCCCCCCCCCCAAACCGCCTTTCTCGTTACACACCATTACGTTGTGAACACACCACAGAATTCTACACTCAGAATTCTGTGGAACACACCAATTAAAATTCAGACTGTCTCGCTAATTCGGGAGTAGAGACAACTGCTGCAATGGTCAGGGAAGATTTCACAGTTCGATGTGATCCCGCCTGGAGCGAACATGTAGGCCCTACCCACCCAGCAAGTGATGTAAGTTTAGGGGGAGACCTCAGGTCGGTGTGAGTGCGATGTTCAGGGAAAACAAACGAGTCAGTCAGTTCAAACCCCGGTGTGATCCCGTCTGGGGCAAACATTGTATCGCTTCATCGAGTTTTACAACGCTTATGTGATCACATTCACGACAGTGGCTGATCTTTGACGCGACGGACAGTTTATTGATCTCAACTTTTCACTCTTGGTTGATAGGCTGTGCCCACCCGGGCTTTTGTTTCGCAAATTATGATCTGAAATGCGGGATCTCAGCCGAATGTAGACCTTCAGAGTGAATCAGAGTGGGATCTCAGGGGTGACTTTTGTATAGTAAAAATTCTGTTTTCTTAAAACGACGGGATCTTACGAGAACCGGGATCGTAAGCGGTGGGATCTTAGGCGGAGACTACTGTAGCAGTTTTATTACCCATAGTCAATTTTTGTCAATAGCCTAAAGCAGGCAGACAAACAATAACGTGCAGCAAGAAAATATAAGACAATATAAAATCTGAAAGTGTAATTCTGTGCTCTTGAGAAAAGTCATTGCGACTTTTCGGGCACTCCATAAATATATAGGTATCATTCTTGCCAGCTGCACAAACTTTTTCCATCAACAGCTACTTCAAAATAACATTTCAAAGTTCAGGTATAGGGAATAGCCTCACTGGATTCTGGGAATAATTTAAGAAACAATATTGTTTAGTGACTTTCTATAGGAAACAAAGCAAAGTAAAATTCTAAAGCAAATTAAGTTCACAACTTCCAAGCAACAAGACTGAAAGGTTCTTTTCTTAACTAAATCACAACTTTTTACTAGACCACAGAAAGCAGAATGAGAGTAGGAAAATTGTTGCTGATTTATGAAACTTTTCTTCTCAAATTGCACCTGACCCATAATTCCTAGACTTGCCTTAGATAACTGGTGTCACCAACCATTGCAGCTGTAATGGCAGCTTCCACTTTCTTCCTACCCGTGTACAATGAAAATGCAGGGCTGTTCTTGAGCTGTGACTCGCTCACACGAGGTCTGTTACCTGCTGAGGAGGTAAGGGGGGAGGGGAGAGAGGGAAGGGGAGAGAGGGAAGGGGAGAGGGGGGAGTGGTGAAGGGGGGAGGGGAGAGGGAGGGAGGGGGAGGAGAGAGGAGAGAAGTGGAAGGGAGCATCAGAATAAGATTATCACATTCATGATTGTTCTTATCTTTCATACACACATTATGTCAGCAAGGATATTATTTTTTAGATTTGCTTCGAAAAGGTCACAAAAATATTTAAATGAAAAACATGCCTATGCTTTTGCCTAACCTCTTGAAACACCACAAAAGTTCCCACTTTTTCGTCTAAAAAAAACCCCAAAACAAATAAATAACAATTGACAGAAATGAAGATTATGTATTATAGTCGATGTACTGACTCCCCATAACCCTTAAGTAGAGAACCCGTAAAAGAATCTTCAATTATAAATAAGTGGTATTTGCCATTTGCATGAAGTGGTACTCGTTTCATCGATCAAGTAAAGATTTTCTCTCAAGCAACAAAGACGGTGAGTTAAAAACCCAATTTAAAAAAAATTGTAAATTCATCTACTGTAACAATCTGGCTTCACATATATTATGTGGTGTAAATGGCCCTAGTTCAAATCATTGATTGGGCATTCTTGAATTTGAATTGTTTGGGGAGTTCACATGGCTCTCCATCTATTTGGCTAGGTCATATTGGAGATGAACGATAAATAGGCCCTAATCCTATTGGCACAGATAGGGCCATTATAAAACCCACACAACTACTACAAACAAAATATGGGAGACAACTAATGTTATCCATCTATTTACCCTGTGATTGACATTAAGTCAATATTATGACTTCGAAAAGAATTTCAAATAACCAAAATCAAACTGAGGCATCAGAACCGTCTTGCAGGCCTATCCCAAAGTAATTATCTCTGAGTAAGAAACACCCCCTTGTTTGACCTCTATCGATATCCTATATATTGATAACACTGTCTCAAGTACTCTGAAGTATCACTGGACCAATTCAATTTCAATCCCTGAGTGTTGATATTTCAGTCTTTTCTCTTAATATCTGATCTAACATATCACATCATGATGGTGAAAACTTTACAGGTGCACAAAGTGCTGAGGGTGGATGCCACTAGGGGTAATTAAAACCGTTCATTATTTCTTGAAATTGTCTCGGAAGCTTCATTCAGCTCTATAACAATATGAAGTCTTATTTAATTTTCAGCATCTTTTTATAATCTTTCCATTGTTTCTGAGAGAGCTCAAACGGAATTGAGGAAGCTGTAACGGCACAACTTTGTTCTCCTCATTCAAATCATATATTGACTAGAATCAGCTTGCTTGGGGAAGATGATAAAACAATGTAAATACATTACTATCTCTACGAGCATTCTGTGCGTGCATGCAAATACATGTGTGTGTGTGTGTGTGTGTGTGTGTGTGTGTGTGTGTGTGTGTGTGTGTGTGTGTGTGTGTGTGTGTGTGTGTGTGTGTGTGTGTGTGTGTGTGTGTGTGTGCATGTGTGTTTGTTTGTGTGTGAGTGAGTAAAGAGTGTGTGTGTGTGTGTGTGTGTGTGTGTGTGTGTGGGTGTGTGTGTGTGTGAGAGAGAGAGAGAGAGAGACAGAGAGAGAGAGAGAGAGAGAGAGAGAGAGAGAGAGAGAGAGAGAGAGAGAGAGAGAGAGAGAGAGAGAAAGTATGTGGCTGTCTGACTGAGAGCATAGGAATGTGTGTATTTGTGTTTGTGTGTATTTATATACGTTTGTGAGCGTTGTGTGTGTTTGTGTGTGTGTGTGTCTCTGTGTGTTTGTTTGAATGTCTGTAAATGCATGTCAATGAATGTTTTGGAGTCAGGGGTCAGCATGCCAGCATAATCATGGTAGAATACTATGTATGGAGATGTTCTTTAAAGAATTGTTTCAAGCTTTCTAATTTTTAAAACAAATTTTGCAAACTATTGAAATGTTTCTGAACAATCTTTTATATTAACCAGCAATACAGAAGAAAACTGTCTGCAGCCTACCTTTACTTACCGGTCTCATTCATTAATAATGTTATGAATAAAACTACTAGCCTACTACTACTACTACTACTACTACTACTACTACTACTACTACTGCTACTATTACGACTACTACTACTACTGCTACTATTACGACTACTACTACTACCACTAATAATAATAATAACAATAATAATAATAATAATAATAATAATAATAATAACAATAATAATAATAATAAAAATATTTATCAATTTTATTGAGCTTACCATGTGAACACAGCTCTAGGTGCTTTACATAAAGGCAAGTACAAATTCATAAATGAACACACACACACACACACACACACACACACTTACACATACAATCAAGCAGGTACATACACACACACACACACACACACACACACACACACACACACACACACACACACACACACACACACACACACACACACACACACACACACACACACACACACACACACACACACACAACACAACACACACACGATGCAGGGCCAATAGCCAGAGAAGAAAAATCATACAATTTGTGTTGCACAGAACAGTCATTTGTAAATCATTCTTTTGTGTACAATGGACAAATATAAAAAAATCTCTGTGTTTTAAATGAGGAACAGCTGGCTCAGATATCAAGCAAAGACAACACAATGAAAAACACAGGACTCAAAGATAAAATAATATTATTTTTACCATCTGTACTTTCATAATGGCGATTCAAGAATTTCCCCGACATTTTCAGGCACTCCTCTATGGAAATTTCTCTCTAAAAGCTGTACGCATTAACACCACAAGGTACTCCAGTCCTGGTTCATGAGATGATGTTGTATAGACAATTCTGTACAAGCTGACAGCTGTTAGATAAAATAGACAATAAGAAAATTGATAAAGAGCGTTTAGTGTAGTGTGCACACATTCTAAAACTTCCACTAACTTCCCTGAAGATAAGGGGGACCAACAAGAAGGTCCTAATGCCTTTATGAAAAGTAGGAGAGCTGGTCTTGCTAGATTACATTATGACATAGCACTTTAACACTTCCTTTGCAGAAACTGCAAGTCAGCCTGCATGCAATACGATTAACAATGAAACAAGAGTAAATTTAATCCTCACCATCAGACACTTTTATCATTTGAATATCTTTCAAATCTTACAGTCGTTCACTCGGTTGTTCACTATCTTTTTCAGTAGCTTGAAGTGCATAATTTTTTAAGTTCAAAGTGTCAACATAATCTCCCTCTGCCTTTCATCCACCACAAGAACTCTTTTTGAATGTTGAAACCATTCTTTTCTTTATTGTCTCTTTTCCTCATCACACTCTTTCGTCAAACAATAGTAAGATAAAATGTATTCCCACAATACATTTACCCGATCAACATTCACGATAGGCCTGCTAGTACTGAGAATTTACAGGCAACTTATTTGTACAGCCCTGATATCAGAGGATATTCTGTATAATATATAATATTATGGGCACATCTTTTATTCCTTAGTCAGCAATAGAATTCTAGGTGATTCCCATTAATAAAATAAACATCATCTCAATAGACTAAAGTGAGTTGAACAGTTTCCTGGAAATTCCACACCAAGGTTCTGATGTCGAGTCCCGCGCAGTTAAAACAGTGACAAAACACACATAAGGATGATGATGAGATATGATTTACACCACTTTACCCATAAATGATGAGAACCCCTTACAAACTGGGAACATTTTTTCATTTGACGTTCTAATCAATAATATAAAGTGTTTTTTTTTATCATTATTCATTCATAATAATTAAGCTCACATAAAAAAATAAA